ATTGTATCCCATCACTCCGGAGAGGATAAAATAGCTTCTCTATTTTCATTTATTTTTTAAAAAGGGAAGTTATTATTCTCCAGATATGCCAAGTTCAACTCCAGCAGTTATTTCACTAGCACATCAGGAAATTACCAGTTGAGGAAAGAGTAATGTTGCCTAGGAAGAGGGAGAAGCAACTTTTGCCTGCAAACTAGGAAATAGCTGCTCAGCTTTTGATGAGGTACAGTTTGAAAATTCCATAATATCATACTTTACTCTTAAGTACACATCTTGATCCTGATTTGTGTTTACATCAGGGTTTCTCAACCTCAACTTTAAGATGGTTGAATTTCAGCTCCCAGAACTCTCCAGCCAGCATGTTTTAAGATTATGGGCAATGTTAATGAATGCTGCTTTAGATTAAAAATAAATTCCTACAAAGATCATTTTAAATGCCACTTTCAGAGAAGCCAAATTAGCGTAACACAGCATTTGATGTCCATAAGCCAGAAATAAATTCATTTCCTCCAGACACTCCACAATCACTTACTGTGTGATATTGGTCAGGATTATAGACATCTGAAGTATAAAACGCTTGGATGCTACAATACTGCTACCCAAAGAGGGCTGGATATGCTGATCTCTACTTAAACTGCTACTTGTATTAACAGACAACCTGATAGGATTTGGAATCCAACAAATTCTGGAGGAATGTGTGATGCTCAATCTTGTTTAATACGGATAATAGAGATACAACACCCCACTTCCATTTGAGCACTTTTTTGACAGCAAGGCTGACAGCACAAAACTATTGGGTATCTGTGTGAATAGTGATTCAAAACATCAAAAAGCACCAGTGGTTTTTCAAAACAGGATGATGTTTGCTACTGTAAGGAGGAAAAACTCGGGAGAAAACGGCTGTATTGGAGAAAGTCTATTCTTATTCTAAAAAAAAAAAATTCCCCAACAAAAATTATTTTTTTTAAAAAAAAATTCAGCACGATCTTTGGCCAACCTTACTTTGGCAGTCAGTTGGGGGGTGGGGGCGGGCAGCAGAGCTTCTTATCATACACCACATTAAAGCATCACGTTTTTCATGAATACTCCCTCTTTTCATTATGTGGATGCTTAAGCTTCAACAACTTCTATCTCTCCGGCCAAGCGGTCGCGAGAAAAATAATAAGCAAAGTCACTGCTTAGGGATGTAGCGTGACTAAAAACTGCGCAAGCGCAAAAGAAAAAAGCTGAACGGGGAGACTACAACTCCCTATCACCCTTGCGGTCAAATCCTGTAAAGCAGCCCAGTGCAATGTGCCTGCTGTTGCTGCAGCATTAGTAGAAAGTGTGTCACTGGGACACGAGGCTCTCCCTAGGAGTCACATGGTGGATGTTCCTGAGCCGCGTGCTGGTGTCTGCGCAGCTGCAAGGAGAGAGTGAGCTTTGGCAGATTAACATTTTGCAGGCGATGGGAGAGGCAGCGGCATAATCGAGCTCCCGGCTGGCGTGAGAGAATCTTTGCACGCGCAGCCAAGCTCCAGTTCTTTCCAATCTGAGTGCCGGTGCAAATTACGAAGTTTAAAGGAGCAAGTCGCCACCATCCCGTGCAAACTGAGGTTCTTTTGCATTGCAACATAACTTCGGGCAGGGGGGGGGGGGGAAGAAGAAAGAGGAGGGGAAAGAGAGCCCGTTGCTTTCCTCCCTCCTCACCAATCGAATCTCAACTCGCATCGTCGCTTGATATGAATGACAACTATCAGCTGAACAGGATGGCAACTTTGGATGACAACAATAACGCCCCAGGTAAGCCCCCGCTTTTCATCTATCGGATTCCCACACCGATTTAACTTTCCTGTACTAAAAAAACCCCCGGTGATTTAACGTTCCTCATTCGCACCTTGGTACCCTTGATAGCCTTTTGTGTAGGACAAAGTCCAGTCTCTGAGCCCAGCCTCCTCCGGTATGTTTTGGTTTGTGCACCAGCACGCCAGCTAACCGGGGTCTGTTTTATCAACATAGGCTGGAAGGAGAGGCAGGGGTCACACACACACAAATAGGGCGGTTATGTATGAAGTTGCTTCTCATTTCATTTCATTTATTAAATTTTTATACCGCCCTTCTCCCGAAGGACTCAGGGCGGTGAACAGCCAAGATTAAAATACATTAATCTTGTATTCATTAACTGTACAAAGGATAAAGGAGCCTTTCCGAACCGCCAGCCCCACAGAATATACTTTGGGAAGTTGTAGGAAAGTCCAGAGGAAAATCGCTTAGATCCTTTCTTCTCCCGGTCAAAGATCATTTAATTTTCCACACGTGCACTGTGGCTCCCTCTTGGGGATCGTTAAAAAGGGAAGTAAAGTTTAGATATCAGTTTTAAGGGAGGAGATCAACCTCCTCTTAAGGAACGGAAAGGGTAGAGCCAAGGTCTTGGGTCACTAACAGTCGCAGGGCGATGCCCTTTCTTGCCCTTTGAATTGAGGGGCAGATGGCGAACGAGGACAGTCCGGAAGAGAAGGGAGCTGTTTTGCTTTCCTGTTGCGTCTCACAATTATTTTTCAATGAACTTTCGTCTGAGACAGTCAGGAAATTCGTAATATCTCTCGATATCCCCACCTCAACGCTGTGTTTATCTCCCTGAGATGTCCCTCCCGGGGATCTTCCCCTCCTCGACGTTTGAAATCGCGCTGTCCCCTCTGGAATCCTACCCTTTTTTGGGGGGGATTCCCCCACCAAGGGTCTCACGTGTCCTGTGTTCGGACTCAGCCACGTGCAAAGTTTGTTTTCCTCGCCGACCCCGCCCCTGCCGCCCATTGGCCTATCCCGCCTCGATTACATCTTTAACCACGCCCATTTTCGAACGTCATCATTCAGGAAGAAACAGTGCTCTGTCTCCTCCTTCCTGGGCGGGCGTTCGGGTGGTTTTTGCTAGTGGGTGGAGGAGGAATCTGAACCAATGGAGAACGAGGGGAAGGGCAAAGCGTGAGGGGCGAAGCTGAGGGCAGGGGAACCATGTGCCAACGGGACACGTTGGGGAGACTCGTCCGACCTGCTAAGCTTATTGTCGCGTCTCTTACTCATTAAACTGAGCGAGGAACGGCTCTAAGATCTTTGGGGCATATGAAAATTCTGGTTAAGTCATGAGGCCTGTCCGAATGCCAACTGTGTGAGTGGAAACCGCCTGTTTCCCGCATCTTGGGATGTGCCCAAGATAAACTAAAAATTAAGTAATGCCAACCCTTGAACATCTTTCATTCTGGTGGTTTCTCTTCATTTTATTCTGAGGCTATACTGACACCACCACCACCACCACCACTATATAAGTGGTGGACAGGAATTACCTGCACTGTAGACTGGATAGGGAAGTTAAAAACACACATTCTTACCTATTTTCGAAGGAGAGACTGATTAGCTGCTGTAAAGCTGCCAAGGAAAATTTATGAACAGCTGCAAATAGCTGAACTTGATGCAAGATCTGAGGTTATATTTGTTTTAAGGTAACAATGTCATCGCAGTACAAGGATCTTTCCTATATCATAACCTATTAATATACATATAAAACTGTGTTAATAAGTGATCAAATTCCCCTCTTCCTGCACTGTGACGTCTTTATATCCAAAGAGCTCTTACGCAACTTTATTGTAAGCTTTCCATTGAGTCTAATGTCCTCATGAAATGAACAACTTGACAAACTCTAGCTTTGTATCTTAGATTAACATGTTGTCAATGCTCCAATATTATTTACAGCCACTCCCAAGCCTCCACTTGGGTAAACTAGTGACATATATTCCAAATAGACATGACACACCTTTCTCTGCAGACCCATTTGGAAGTTCTCCAGCTTGATGTTCCCGTAACTTTCAGTGCCGTCTTGTGCCTTCAAGCATTATTTATTTTCTATGACTCACTTGGGATGGTCTGTTTTAATATTCCTGGGAGGGACAGCTGCACATGTACATAGCTTCCTCCACTGGGATTCCCTACTCCACCCTTCATGGTGTGATCTGACAGATTTTCAAACCCTGCTGCTTACCTGTTAAAAAAATAGGAAGGAAGAGTGTTTTAAAGGAGAGGGCAGGAGCAGAGGAGAAAAAAGGGCCCTGAGCCTACGATTTGGCAGTAGCTCCCTTAGATCCAAATCAGACAAGATGATGAAGATGTTTGCCTTAACCAGCCAAGAGAGTTGGCTGCTTTCCAGGTCTCTGCAGCCAAGCAGTTCTTAATTCAACTAGATGCTGTAATTTAAACTGTCTTCAACCTTGTTTGTCCTTGGTAACTTTCCCAGTCATTATGCTTAAATTCAGAGATTGACAAAAGTTCCAGATTAATACTGATAATGTGCTGCATGACATTTGGAGCAGTCTAAACTGGGAATAGTAAAGTTGCTTCTGGAATGTTTGTTGCCTTTAAAGTTACTGAGAATTTCCTTTGGCTACAGTACTATAATTGGTGCTTTTTTTTTTCCTGGTAAGGAATGTCATTCATAAGCCCCCACCCACCCCACTTTTTGCAGTCTTCAGATTCCATTTGACACCTAGATTGCCATTTTTATTTTCTGAAACTGCAGAAGGAAAAAAGAGGTATCTTGTTTCCCCACTTACTCTGTAGGTTTCCCCACTTACTCTGCTCTGTAGAACCAATGGTGAATTAGTGCATAAGTAGGTTGCCTCTTGCTCATTCTATAGGAGAAAAGTCCCTTATACTGTAATGTAAGAGGTAGAAATGAATGAAAGGATTTGGGGACATTATCCCATTTCTTTAGCCCCCATCCTGATCTTCCCTGTTATCTAAAAAGATTAAGTTCTAGATTAGAAGTTACAATCTCAACAGGATCAGGAAGCCAGCTTCCAAGTGTATTGAGGATTAAAGATAGTTACTAGAGATTCTTTTTTAATCTAATGGGTATCTGGGAGCATAAGGGAATGTCTTTTTTGGGGGTGGGGAAATGCCTGGAATAGGTTGATATTATCCATAACACTAGAACTGGGGGGGGGGTGGGTGGGCGATGGGTGTTTCAGATTCAGGAAATTTAGTAATGTAGGAAGCACAGCAATTATGCACAGCACAACTTCTAAAAGATGCCTGGGCATTTATTTATTTATTTATTTGCAGGAAAGTATTAACAGATATTTTTTTTCTTCTGGAGAAGGATTCTTCACCCAGTTTTTTGGTGGAAAATATTGGGGAGGGGCAGTTGGGATGATAAGTATCTCTTTATGATAATAAAAGAGTAGTATAAGGTTAGAAGACGTTAGCTAGGAGATCTTGTCTTGCTTAAGGATAAGGTTAAGACATCTTAACCTTTTTTGTTAGGATGTGATGGCTATATAGAGCAGCTGAGCATGAGTGGCAAGTTCTAGCAGTTTAGCCTTTTCAAATGTGATGCATTTCAGATATTTTGGGACTGCAGATCCAGAAATCCCTGCCAAGACCTCAGTTTGGGAAAGGCTAAATTAATTCATGCCATCCTTTTCCCTGTTGGCAAAGGAGACTGCTTTTGGATTGCCAGCCATAACTGGTATTGTTTCAGCTTCACCTAAGCAAGCAGTCCCAGCTCTTGGGCTGCAAGTAATAATTGAGCAGGCAGAGATAAAGCTTGGCAGTCCCAGTCAAGACTGGCTTCTTGTCAAAAGCCTTACCTGGGCACTGAATGTGTTTCTCCCACGTGATCTTGTTTATAAGCCTTCTGGCATGTATGATTTTGTTTTCGTTGCTCAAAATTCCTTGGCAGTAATACTTGCCTCCTGGCAAGTGGCCCGGTTCTGAAACCTTGAGTCTTTTTTTTTAATCACTAGGTTCCCAATTTAATTGATTTTTTGGGTGTGATGGATTTTTTCAAAGAAATAATTATTTTGGCTTCCACCTGTTTTTCAGTGAAATTTTGGCTGTCTGTTTCACTGCTATAAGTTGTTTACTTCATCCTTTTCCTTATCCCACCCCACCCCCATTTGCAGCTTAAGATATAGGTCAACATCTGAAAGCAGAAAGAATTGGATTGTAAAATAAATACAGTAATTTTGGTGAGATAATCCACGGTTTGCAGTTAGGAAATAAACTTTCATCCAGATGTGTTTGGGAAGAAAAGTCTGCCATACTTCACATACACTGGACTGCTTTGTTTTCTTACTCCTAGTTTATTTACATGTACCCTGTTCTAATCCAGTTTCTGCAAATGCTAGAACATGGACACTGTGTTCCTATTCACTGTTCTGCCACATCTTATGTAAGTTGCTTGTCCATATTGTAAACTGATTCACTAATTGCTACCTTTTTTTGTATATGATGATTCATACACATAGTATGGTATGAGAGGCATATAGGAAATAAATAAATAAAGATTGTATTTGCAGGTGATGAGAGTTTAGTTCGTTCAGGTTCAAGGATTTCATGTTAGGAAAAATCGTTGTATGATTTTAAAATTTAGAAAAAATTCATAGACCTAAGCAATAATTTTTCATCCTCTGCTACCATTTATCAGATATATATTGATGGTCGTGCTCATTTGGTTCTATGAGGAAGTTATTTGGTCAATACAGCTTCAGGTTCAAAAGGTTGTTTTTATTATTTACAAATATATACATGCATACGATAATGAACAGGGTGTCCTGTTACATTTTTTACCCTAACTGTATGACTCGGATGTTGAGAGGAGAGAGAAGTCCACGTGTTGTCTCGCTGAGAGATAGATGAGAGAGAGAGAAAAAAAGGGGAAGATGTCCAAGTGGTTTCTAGGTAAGAGTCCAATAAGAGAGTTCATTGGCTGATATAGTCACATGTGATGTCTGTAAAGACTTAACCCCTTCTAGTCTCGGGTGCATCATATGCAGGCAATATCTGACAGACATATCTTTCTTAAAGTATCATGCTAGCTAGAGATGATTACCCTTGATAATCCCAAATCCTTCTGTATTTCCGGATAAAACACTTGAAACTCAATTGATTCAGTAGATAAGAAGCAAGGAAATATCCCCACAGAAATTTAAAGCTTGGAAGGAGGCCATCTAATCTAAATGTCTGCTTACTGCTTACTGCAAGAATCTTACTAAAATCCTTGAATGGTGGGCACGTCAGTCCTCTAGACACATGTTCATCTGACTGAGATGGAATGGAATGTATTCTCGTGGAATTCTTGCCTCACATATATGAGTCAGTAGGTTAGATGTATATGAAATAGGGAAGCAATTTAATCCCAAATCAATCCTTTGATGTTTGTGGGAGGCTTCGTATTATTACCCTTAGCAGCTTGTTAAGGCTTCAGCTATTTGCTCAATAAGCATTTCTTGAACCACATTGCCTCTCTGTTAATATAATAAATGAAACATTTTCTTTTCTCCACTACATTCAGAAATGTACAAATCTCTCATGTCCTGTTTTAGTAGTGTTTTTCCAAGATAAAGATCAGCATTTGGCAAGATGTTTCCATCTCTTCTCTTTCTCCTTTCTTTTCTCTTCTGCATTTCTAAAACCTGTCTCTTTAGTCATTCTTCCCTAACCTGAACTCTCTCCTAATGTGCAAGAATGACCGTTCAGAGAATTCCCAACCTAAATGACTAGAGGTATTCTGGAAAAAAGTCCGGGCATTTTCCCCTCAGGTTTGGCTCTAAAAGGTGTTTTTTTGGGGGGGGGGATATTGATGACCCTGGGATTAGTCCTCACCTAGATGGCATATTAGAGAGATCCAGTTACCTGACAAAAACAATTGAGATGCTCTAGGGTAAAATAGATTATCATAAATTCCTTTTTTTCTCTTTATGCAGGTGGTGTGATCAGTTACATTGGTTCAAATGGATCTTCCCCAAGCCGCACCAGTCCCATCTCTTTGTGTGGCAGTGACAGCTTGAATGGCAGCTGCCAACTGTTTTCCCATCCAACTTTTCCCAACTACTTCCCACCTTCACCCACTGGATCTCTGGTGCAGGATTCTGGACGCCTCTACGGGGGTAGTTCGGCTGGACTTGGTGATGATGCCTCCCCATCGTCATCGTCGTCGTCGTCCTCCTCTTCCTACAGCTCTGGAGGTTCTCCAGTGGGACTCCAAGTGACCTTGGATGATGGGAGGCGTGTCTCCCCTATCAAAAGCACCAGCAGCAGCATCACGAGTGAGTGATGAACTGGAAAGCTGCGCTTTGGGGGATGGGATCAGATTGAGAATGCTGAGGTGAGCATGGATTTGAGAGTGAATGTTGAGATGACCACATCTCACAGGATAGTTGTGGGCTTACAGTTCCATCAACTACCAACTCTTTTGGCAGACTCTGGGATTCAGGTACTTCAATCTATCAGGGTTGCCTTTCTAACAACATTGATTCCAGCTGTGTTTTTCAAAACCAGCTGTGTGCATCAAATGTTTGAAAGCTCACCAGTGTTGAAGAGGCTGAAGCTGTGAATCCAGTCTTCAAACAAAGAATCTTATAGCCTTTGTCTCTCTTTCTCCTTCAGAACTCAATGGGATGGTCCTTCTGTGTAAAGTTTGTGGTGATGTTGCTTCCGGCTTCCATTATGGTGTCCATGCCTGTGAAGGCTGCAAGGTAAAGTTTTTACCTCAGCATACTTAAGACCAGGGGTCTCCAAACATGGCAACTTTAAGAGTTGTGGACTTCAACTCCCAGAATTCCTCAGCCAGGAATTCTGGAAGTTGAAGTCCACAGGTTTTAAAGTGGCCAAGTTTGAAGACCCCTGCTCAAGATTTTCCAATATTTTGAACGAGAAGAAAATATGTCTCTCTCTCACATAAATGAATCTGTGAGAAAATATTTTTTTTAGAAGTCTGATGAAATTGAGAGCTGCTTGTGAGCATAGTAGCACTTTTGAGCATATTATGCTCTAGAGATCAGGTCTATCTATTGCTCAAAGATTTATAGTGTGATTTGATTACTTACCTGCTCATCTAGTAGAACTGCCTCAGAGTTGACTGTTCGAAACTCCCCATCCAGGTGCACAGATACTTAATAGTGACATTCCAAACTGTATTATTTGGGGATAATGAAAATTGTCGGCATTTCTAAATGGCATAGCTGCAAGAATGCCTTAAGGGTGACATGCAGCTAAGCAGAGCATAAGATTCCTCTGCAGTCAATTCTACTTCAGCTATAAAAAAATATTTTAATATGAAGGCAATACAATGTGCTATTTTTAGAGACTCTTACTTGCAATTACTACAGAGAAAAGACTTTTGTGTCATACTTAATGTAGGTAAATAGCAAATGTAGTTCTTTTCTCCTCTCAGTTTTGCACTATACATCAGTGTTTCTGAATCTAACCAACTTTAAGACTTTAAGCAACTTTCAATTTTCAATTTCAGTTTTCAACTTTCAATCAATATGGAGAATTTTGGAAGTTAAAATCCACCAGACTTCAAGTTGCCATGATTGGAATTGCTCTAGACCCGTGATGGCGAACCTATGGCACGCGTGCCAGAGGTGGCACGCGGAGCCATATTAGTGGGCACGCCAGCTCAGCTCTGGGGCGCATGCACGCGCCGGCCAGCTGATTTTCGGGCCTTCTGGGCCCACCAGAAGTAGGGAAACAGGCTGTTTCCTGCCTCTGGGGGGGTGGGGAAGGCCCGTTTTTCTTTCTTACCTGGCTCCAGATCCTCTCTGTGTATCTGGCAATGGCGAAAACAGCCTTTCCCACTCCCTTGGAGGCCCTACGGAGGCTCAAAGGGCCCATTTCCCCACTCCCGGTGGGACAGGAAGTGACGTTTTTTCCTGTCCCCAGCCTCCAGAAACTCCTAGAGAGGCTCCTACAGACTCCTAGAGAGGTTTTGGAGGCTGGGGACAGCAAAAAAATGTCACTTCCTGTCCCACAGTTGGGAAATGGGCCTTTTCAGCCTCCGTAGGGCCTCCAAGGGAGTGGGAAAGGCTGTTTTCGCCGTTCCCAGATACACAGAGAGGATCTGGAACCAGGTAAGAAAGAAAAACGGGCCTACCAGGCCATCATGTGCCAGGAGCGGGGGGGGAGGGGGTTGCACACACATGCGCGTGGGCACGTGGGCACGCGACCCTCCCCTGCCCCCCCCTCTCCTGGCACGCAATGGCAAAAAGGTTAGCCATCCCTGCTCTAGACATTTATAAGCTATTGAGGTTCCTGCCCCTTTTTCCTAGAAGCAAGCATGTAACAGAATTGTTGGGTGAAAAAGAATATGTTTGAGAATGTTTACACCAAAAGCACTTGCAGTTACTTTCTGCTTCACAATCTCAAGAGAGATGTATTGAAACACACATCCTAAGAATTAATGATCAGACCATGCTCACTGCCCAAGTTAAACAAAATACTTGTCTCTCACAACTGCAGGGTTTCTTTCGACGCAGCATTCAGCAGAACATCCAATACAAAAAGTGCCTGAAAAATGAGACCTGCAGCATTGTCCGTATCAACCGGAATCGTTGCCAGCAGTGTCGCTTTAAGAAGTGTCTGAGGGTTGGCATGTCTCGTGATGGTGAGTTCTTGCAGCAGGAAATTAAGAGACCTCAGGAAGAACAACAGTCTAGCCTTAGCGTAAACCTTTTGGTGGGCCCTCTGGGTAATCTCAGAAGATCTGCACCAAAGGGTAAGTCACGTGCGCTACAGTACAGAGGATTTGGGTTGTCTTCTATCTGTAATTCTTCTTATCTACCCTTCGGTGCAGATGTTCTTGATCCCAGAGAGCCCCTAAAAGGAGAAAATGGCAAGAGATGGTCGTGAGAGAGGAGTGTCAGGTTACTACCTTTGTCCACTGGTGATGTACCTCCCTCCCTCCTTGAGATATTAGGATCAAGTTCTTGCATGGTGCACTTGGGCAGCATTGCTGAAGGGTTTGGGGAAGGTTATGTGGGGTTGTCGTGGTTGTTTTGGACAGAGCAAATATTTCAGTCTTGTGGAATTTCTTTGCTTGCTGGCATAGATTGTACTCTAAAAGGAGGACTAAGCACAGTTGGACCTGGTTAGTACTTGGATGGGGGATGGCTAGGAAATCCCAGAAATTTATGTTGAAAAAGTAAACCAGAAGCAATGGCAACCTACTTTATACTGTTGCAGTGATGACGATGATATATGCCACCTAACTCTAAGGAATTCGGTATGTGTGAAATCCCCAGATTTCCACTGAATAGTTTATCCTATTGTTTCCTTTGTCACCAAAAGGAAAAGCATGATGTGTAGGCACAAGGCACATAGGTTCTTTTCCTGGATCCATCGATGGAAAGTCTTTGAAGATGAAGTTTACCTCAAAAAGTTTGCTTTTTGGAAGAGGTTTTTGCTTCTAAAACATGGATTAGAATACCCATGTTGGATCCTTGGATTCCACAGGAATATTTCATATATTGTCATCTTTTTTCTGTGTCCTGTTCAGCCGTACGATTTGGGCGCATCCCCAAGCGTGAGAAGCAAAGGATGTTGGCTGAGATGCAGAGCGCAATGAACAACATGGCTAATAATCAACTGAGTGCACAGTGCCTCCCTGAGAATCTGCCCACAGGACATCTGCAGTCCAGTACCCTCTCGCTGGGCCACCAGTCTCAACTGGCACCTTCTTCACCACCATCCCGTGCAGCCTCCCCACCCCCGATTTCTCCTTGCTACTCCCAGTTTTCTCAGCAGCTGACACCTCCACGATCCCCAAGCCCTGGAGATGTCATGGAGGATGTCATCACACAAGTGGCTAAAGCCCACAAAGAAATTTTTGTTTATGCCCATGACAAACTGGCCACAGGGCCCCAACCACCCACAGGGAGTAACAGTTCTCCTAGTTGGGACAACAACTGGTTGACTAATGGCCACCACACCAATGGGCTGCATCTTCAGAATGACAACTGGAACACTGGCTCTGCCTCTAGACCTGCTTGCCACCAGAATACCAATGGACATAGGTTTTGTCCCTCTGGGGAAGCAGACCTTCCCCTTAGGCAAGGCAAAACCAGAGTCTTGGTAAGTGTTACTTTGCCATGAAAGTTCTCATTTGCCTTTCAAATTCAATTGTTGCTAAATTGTTCTCCTCCTACTGCTGCTGGTTGGGTTTAGTGTGGACGGAAAATCCCTGGGATGGGAATGAAATTCAAATCAAGAAAGTTATGTTTGGCTAATTATTCACCAGGTGATTTGGGTGTATTTTTGTCTCCACTATTTTTATGTTCTAGATGCTTTATTATTTATTAAAATTAATAACGAATATTTTTTTTAGAATAAAAAATAATACCCACCCATTTGGAGTAGCGTTCAGTAATCCCTTTTGACCTCTGAATTAAGATCAGAGAATTTTCCCCATCAAAAACCTTGGGTGTGCAATCAGAGGTTGCCATTATTTAGGAAGTATCTGTCCAAAATATTGGCAGATGGATCATGCTTGTTCAATTGTATGTGTGCAGTATTTCACTGTGGTTGCACTATTACTACGTGAAAGCTCAGTTTTCATGATTTTTTTTAAAAAAATGACCAATAAGAAAATCAAAGTTTGCTAAAATTTTATTTAAGAATGTACATCACAATTAGCAGTATGAAAGGAAAAGTTTTTTTCTTAGAATGGAAATAAATGTATGCACACAGCCAAAAAATGTGCTCAGAAGCTTTTTTTTTTTTTTGCAGGCTTACCTATTTCCAACCACTTAAATCCATACCCTTATTTGTCCTTACATGACTATTTCCCCTCCCAACAGGCTTGCCCAGTGAATTGCCATCCTCATGGTTATAGTGGCCGCACATTTCAGGAGATTTGGGAGGATTTCTCACTGAGCTTTGTGTCAGCTGTACGAGAAGTTGTGGAATTTGCTAAACACATTCCGGGATTTCAGGAGCTGTCACAACATGACCAAGTCTCACTACTCAAAGCTGGCACATTTGAGGTAGGAAAATTTCCACCTACGCTAAGATCCTCCTTAGTCACAAGCTATTGATATTCTGTGCTGGGAAATACTTCTTCCCAAAAACCCACTTCATATTTGTAAACAGAGCAGAGCAAAGGTTCTTTTTAAATCCCATCACAAATTTCCATCTTTTTTTTTTTTAAGAACAGAGAAAGCATTGGAAAGACATATGTTAGCTTCTTCCTCAAATACAAATTAATTAAGAAATAATTAAAGGTTGTTGTCAGGATGGTCTCCTTGTGGGAGGCTGTAACCTAGCCACACCAAGAGCAAAATAAGTGCTTTGAAAAACCAGGAAAAGAATTTGGGCTGAAATTCTGACAAATTGTTTTTCTTTTGAGATCTTTGAAAGAAAAAACAACCACCTTGTGGTTTGATCCTTACCATGTTTGTTTATATGTAGAATTGCAGCCCAACCTGAGAGATGATTAAGATCATTTTTTGCAAATTAATAGTGGAGAAAAGGGTTAGGGCTAATCCTTACCAACATGTCTATAGCGAATGGCATTGTTGTGTGTTTGGGCAATCTCAGCAGTATCAAAAATTTTCCTTTTATATCTTCATTATATACTCAAAACAAGTGGCTTTTGTGGCACGCCACTACCTTTGCCTTTTCATAAAAACAAAAATGAGTTCCTATGGATGCCACTGGTCCTGGTGTTACTATGTAAATGTTTTCCAAATACTACATATTTATTGACAGATAGTCAAACTTTTATGACTTCAAAATAAAATTAAGCCGTCAACATAGTTCGTACCAACATGTCAAATATGTTTTACTGGGAATGTGGATATTTATATACATAGTAGCAGAGAAAGCTAAAAGTAACTTCATGCTTTAGCTCATGGGATTGTCATATCTCTCAGGCTTATGCTATGATAGTTTGCATTAGATTCTTAAATCCATTGAAGTGATTGATAAGATTCTTCATTTTGAGTCTGAAGTTGTTGCCATGGCATGAAAGGCACAAATTGCAATTATAATCCTTCCTAAATTGTAATTATAATCTCAAAGTTTCTTACGTCATTTTGGTGTTTTTTTAAAAATAGAAAAATGCATTTGACCAGTGTTTGTGGAAGCATATTTATGTTTTGAAAGCTCCTTTATCTTTTCTCTCCAACCCCAGGTGCTGATGGTTCGGTTTGCCTCCCTTTTCAATGTCAAGGAGCAGACTGTAACATTCATGAGCCGCACAAAGTACAACCTTGAAGAGTTGTGGGGGATGGGCATGGATGACTTGTTAACATCCATGTTTGAGTTCAGTGAGAAGCTTAGTGCCTTGCAACTATCTGAAGAAGAACTGGGCCTCTTCACAGCAGTGGTGCTGATCTCTGCTGGCAAGTATTCGTTGATCTAGATTGGTGGGAACTCTAGTTCCAATATACAGACTTTTTGATTGCATCCTTTTCCCAGCATAGCTTGTTCTCATTCGTTTGCTGTCGTTGCCAATGGCTTTCATACCTCCAGATTTTTGATTCTTCACTACCAAAATGTAACCCCCAGCTCCCTTACACAAATCTTTTAACTCCTACCTTCCAAATACTAGAAACCTTGTAGGTATAACTGAAATTTTCCATATTCCTCTTCTATCCCAGAAGCTCTCCCTTCAACATCATATTTTAGCAATGTTATGTCCTTGGGGATAAAACCTTCGTTTGTTGTGAAGTAGGATGCATGGCAATGGTTCTTTAGAAATAACAACCAACTATGTTTCAAGGATTGTGATTTGCAGATCATCTCTGGCATGATTTTCTGTTACAATTGGGCGTTCTTGTGACCTGGAGGGAGGCTAGACAGTCTGGACTCTGGTTTTATGTTCTTCCTTCTCAGCCTTCCTCAGCAGTACTTACTGTCCATTCCTCTCCCAACGTAGATCGCTCAGGCATTGAGAACCCAGCATCAGTGGAGCAGCTGCAGGAAACTCTGATCCGGGCGCTGCGAGCCCTCATCCTCAAGAATCACCCCCAGGAGACATCCCGCTTTACTAAACTGCTCTTGAAACTGCCTGATCTGCGCACTCTCAACATGCACTCCGAAAAGCTTCTCTCCTTCCGCATTGATGCTCAGTAGAAGATAGCGTGGGCAGAAATACCGCGAGTCCAGGCTCCTGACCAATTCTCCCTGCTTTATTGCACTAACCAGACTATTTTGGGCCTGGACCTGGCTATCTATTTATGTGGGTGTTGCAGCGGCTACTCCTGCCTGCTCAGAAACAAACAGCACAACCGCCTTTGTAAATATATCCTTGTATATTGGAACTGTGTGAAGAGAATACTCTTCCTGGCTGTGGTGCCAACTTCAGGAGAAAAATACAATGAAATCAAACTGCGTGGTTGTCTTCCTCCTTTTGTTTACTTGTTGCTCTCCTAAATTGAAACTACTGTGGGGATTGAGATCAGGTATGGCATCATTCTTTGGCTGCTACCAGAAGGAAAGCCAGTCTCAGAGAGAGGCGGATAACTGGAGCCCCATTGGCTTTTTCTAGGGAGGGTGATGTGGTCTGAAGTGCTGTAAAAACCGCGAGGTGAACAGGCTCACCTGCATTACTGATTCCTTAAAATGCTCATCTTTTAAGTTTTCCTTTGGTGTAGATGACCTATGAATCCCTTTGTGATAGACGTCACTTAAAGGGCAAAATAATTTTGAAATAATGTCCCTTGTCAGTAGAAATGCAAGGGAAATAACTAAACCACCTTCTTTAAAATACTCCTGTCTAACGAAAAGAAAAAAAGGAATAAATGATCACCCATCCTCAGATTAAATTTAAATAAAATGAGGCAATTAGGTATGCTGGCAAATTGGCCTCTTTTTTTTCCACAGCCTGAATGCTTGGTGAACTTTCTGTATGTAGGGGAGGTTTTACCCGTTAAAGAGAGGCTTTGATGGGTAAAATGGTTAGAAGAGAACAGATTTCAGCCCAACCTTGCACTCAGTTTTGGCAGTTAAAAGAAAGGATGTTATGCCAGCCACCATTTACCAGAAATGAGACACCAAAAGTCAGTTGGGGCTGTGAGGTTTTTTTTTTTTTGTCTTTGTTTAAGGGTAGGTTTGTTTGTTTTTAATCATATATTTATTACATAAATATATAGTAAAATAGACCAGCAACAATTACCATAAAAATATCTTTCTTTAAAATCCTGACCAAAAACACAAAAAGGGTTATTTTTTCTCCCCTGCCCCAGACTTTTCAGGGTTATTTTTTTTTTCAAAATCGCACGTCACAGACAAATTGTGATTGTCGTATTTTTTACATCAGCAGCTTCCTGCTTCCCAGATGCAAAAAAAGGAAAAGGAAAGGAAGAAAAACAGAAACAGAAAAAAGAAAAAGACAGTAAGGGAGAGGGGGGAAAGGGATGAGGCAGAGGGAACACCTTCACCTGGTTTTTCCTTCCCTCTGAACTCTTCCCTCATAACCCAACCCCCTTCAGAAAACCCCATCTCCCAAATATACATTCACTAACTCCCTGCTCACAGTTTCTTTCCCTGCTCTGGACTGCGAGGGGAAAACCACGATGCATAGTATATTGGGGTTTAAGTATAAAGTTAAGTACAAAGTTGCCTCCTTATTGGAAACTCCTTTCTATTCTTCCATAATCTTTGATGATAATCTGGATTCAAAATTAAAAAAAAAAAAAAAACCCTTTCAGAAAGAAAGAAAGACTGGCTGGGGTGATGGTGAAGGTAGTGGGATACCATTTATAGGACTGCATGAGGTATGTATTGGCAAAGAAATACTGAGAGGAGATGTGGGAATAATAATAAGTTTCTCTCCCCCCCCCTCCCCACATGAATAGGTCTATAATGTGAAAAAAATCTGCTTCTTACCCACAGTCATTAAGTGGATGGAGGAAGGAACTTTGGGGCACTGTGCCCTAAGAAGCAACACCTTTACTAAAGATTGCAAAGGATTTTGCTTCTCCCATAGAGGTGGCATGGCGTACAAAAGAGGTGGGAGAGATCCTATGTTCCTTGCCCTGAACTCTGGGTAAAATGTGAGCATGGCATGATAGGGAAGAATGACACCTGAGGTGGCAAAGTATCAAAGTATGAAGTGTCATGGGAGGGATTCACACCCTGAGATCTGCACATCACGTTAAGGATAAGTTATGACCTAGGAAGCAGCCTATATACCCTCCTACCCCAGCTGACATAAGATGGGGGACAGTGCCCTCTATAGATAAATGGGCACACAGGAATAAAGTCAGAGGCCTTTCTCCATTAGCAGCTTTCTTGCATATATAAATCTCTAGTACAAAGGGTGGGGGAAGCAAATTCTACCTTTCTGCATTCAAACTCCTTATGAAAAAGCTATTTCAGCTCCCCTTAGGAGGTGGTGTTATATATGTGCTGGTGATGGAGAGAAGAAAGTGTTTTAAATGAGGACTAAAATCAAGATCCTAAAAACATTTACAGGTAGTCCTTGACTTATGGCCATTCATTTAGTGACCATTTGAAGTTATAATGGTCTTGAAAAAAGTGACTTATGACAGTCCTTGGTCTTATAATCGCTGCTGCCAGTATGCCTGCGGTCATGTAATCACAATTTTGGTTCTCAGCAACTAGCATGTATTTGTGATTGTTGCAGTACCCCAGGATCATGTAACACGTGATCTTCCCAGCTGATTTGTGATAAGCAAAGTCAATGGGGGGGGGTCAGATTTGCTTAACAGCTGAATGATTCAGGTAATGACAGCAGCAAAAAGGTCATAAAATCAGGTGTGACTTGCTTGATGACTGCATCACTTAGTGACAAGTTTCAGTCCCAATTGTGGTCTTAAGTCGAGGACTATCTGTGCCATTTTAAAATCTTAAGGGGTGCAAAATGCATTCATTCCTCGCAGCTGACGAGGTGATGTTGGCCAGGCTGAAAAGGTTTACTTTGGCTATAATGTCTTAGTCTTACCAATCAAGTAATCCCTGTGAAAAAAAGGCTCTTGCCTCTTCCTTGTAAGATACAACCAAATGAAGCTGGTTGTTTCACAACATGATGCTATTATTTGATCATACTCCAAAGGTGTCAACTGAATTAATCTAGTGTTGTAAATTCTATCTGAAGCGACAATCTGTGCTAGTTCAATCACAAACTATTGCTGTTTAACAATAATACTATCTAACAAGCCACTATCATAGAAATATCAACCAGATCATCATCCAAAGTCTCATGGTCTCAAAAGATGAAAAATCTTTTTCTTAATACCTCTATTTTAAGAAATGAAACCAAGAGCCTAGTTTCTCCAATTATTTAAGGGAATACAGAATTTAGCCAGATCACTTCAGCCTGCTAGGCAAGAACAATGAAGGTTCATAACTCTATACTGGGCACTAAGCTGAAATCACAGGCATGTTTCTAATTGGACAGACCATCTCTCATTCCTTTCAGAGCCTCATAGGGACAACCAAACACGTCAACTAAAGTAGTATAATAATTAGCCAAGTCAAATAAACTAAAACAAATAGCTGACATTTGTCTTCCCCCTACGCTGCCTTCCATTTGAGACTTTGGCAGGAAGCTCTGCATGTATGTAGAGCAAACTTGTGCAAAGTGCAGATGGGGTTTACACTTTGTATACATAGGATATCTGTGCACAGTTGAAAGAACTATACTTATTAAATATATATGCTCTAGATGAAGTCAAGCAGGAGGTTCTGCGCAAGCTCACTGAAATGAATGAGCAGTCCCACTCCTTTCAGGTAGGGTCTAGAAGCTGTTCCTTTTCAGTTCAACTACATGTGTATGTATTATATATACACACCTAAATATGTTCAGGCTCCTTCATCCAAGGTAATACCATTTGTGACTATTTTCTCAGGACTATAAAGCCGATCTTACATCTTGAAGTTCAGTATGTGTGGGAAATTCACAAATGAGAGTACCAAAATACTATTTTATAGAGGCTGTACTATTTGGTATAAGGCAATGAGGAATTACTATCCTGCCCCCTCTTCCCTGATAACCAAGGGCATCTTTACATGCTTTGTAGATTTCAAACATAAAGATGTTCCAATTACACCTTTTCAAGGCAGAATTAGTTTCCAAGTTGGGTTATATATAAAATATTTACAGAATTACAAATGCCGAACAGACTGTTCACTTGATTGATGTGTGAAAGTGTGTCCTTGCTGGCAACTTACAGAGTATTATTAAGGCTTCTAGAAAGATGAGTGTAGAGAACTGACCTCAAGATAGGGGTAGCACTGTGGCTTGAATGGTACTTCAGCTGCCCTGACAAGCTGAGGGAATATGAGACATTGGTGAAGTGAGGCCAAATGACAAACGTATTTGAGACAGAAACAAACAAGAATGGGGAAAACGAGGGAAGGTTAACAGCAAGAAGGAAAATGTCTGCATACATACAGAAACACATATACCTACATTTAAGATATACCTCAACTCTGCCACAAATGCTTGGCAGAACAGTTTGAACCCAGAGAATAGGCAAGGCTCAATACTTCTAGCTTTTAGGTATATTCAGCCGGGCACAGCAGGAATATAATATTCTTAATATGGGAGAGAACAAACCTGTCTACAAGCAGGGAATATAAAACCGGCATGACAGAAGCAGAGACACACTGGCATGTGTGTAAGAGACAGGAACCTTCTTTTCATAGAGAAGCAAATTTGTACTAGATATGTTTGTACCTCTTAAGAATATTAAAATACATACAGAATTTGTTAGGTTAAAACCACAAGATTGGACACCCATACAACTGAGGAAATTTACCCTGCGGATTCACAAGTCCCTCATTTTCATTATTACAAGTAAAACATACACATTTAGACACGAGCCAATGCTGATAGTGTGTTAGGGACACAACTGGGGTCACCATAAACCAGAGTGTATCTTTCTCATATACCAGGAAGATGTTTATGTAGGAACACCACCAATAGTCAGAATAACATACCCATTGAGATAAAGAATACATGTGACCAGCTCTGGCCTCAGCGGGGTCTCTTGGCAGCACCACAATGCCTAAACTGTTTCATGGCTTCTGCCTTTGCTCAATCTACAAGAAGCAGAACAACCTGCCTTTGGATGGCATTCATTTTTCTTATGCTGTCCAAGTTTTTTTAAAAAAGATCCGTTAGGGCCTGGGCTGCCAAACAATAGATGCTGCACTTATAATACGTAAAGTACAGGGAGCAAAGCAAACTCAGCTCGACCCCCTCCCCAAAAAGAAGGAGGGAAGAGTATTCGTTCTAATTGAAGGTGGGATTTGGAATAAGGTAATGGTAGGATTATTATTTGAGATCTGTTTTTTAGGCTTCTGGATAAAGGAGGTCAGTTGCAGATTAGTTACCTATGCAAACCTTTTCAGCCTGGCAAGGA